TATGGTATGGTATGGTATGGTATGGTATGGTATGGTATGGTATGGTATGGTATGGTATGACATGGCATGGCATGGCATGGCATGGCATGATATGGTATGGTATGGTATGGTATGGTATGGTATGGCATGGTATGGTATGGTATGGTATGGCATGGTATGGTATGGTATGGTATGGTATGGTATGGTATAGTATGGTATGGTATGGTATGGTATGGTAATTTTAACATGAGAAACCTGTTAGGCTTAAGGTGGAAAGACATTTGTCTCAACCAAATGGAGGCTGAGAAGACAGATAAGAAATAGATATGAACTGGGACAAGAATAAAATATTTTTATATGAAATGATACCAAATGTAATTTACTTAAATATTTTAAGATGTTTATTTAATATTAAAGATAGTTCAAAAATAATACTATTATTATGAAGGTCAATTGTTTAAAAAAATGTGTTTCTTTGTGACCCTGGGATACCTCCGGATGGAGTTACTGCTGGATGGGCACCGGTGACCCCTGAGACCCCAAAAGAAAGAAGCAGGTAAAGATAATGGATGGGTGAATGCTGTTGTGAATATATTGAAAATGAGAAAACTTAGGAGTCAAACCTACATCCTGCGGTGCTAACCAATCTCTCCACTGTGCAGCTTGTGTTCCTCAACAAAATACTGAATGATAATTCGGCCTATAAATGTTGGGAAAATAAGACTTAAGTCTATGACCACCAGGATCAACTACTTATAAATACTGTATCATATTCTGAAAATCGTGTACCAGACTTTTCCGACAGGTGGCAGCAAATAGACTGAAATAGGCTGCTGCTCGTCATTAACAACAAACCGCTCAGTGCGAAGATTTCCGTACTCCACATGGGCAAGTTATAATGGCCTTATGGGAATGTGAGTGTTTTTAGTGGCTCCGCCCGCATGTTGTTCCCAACTCTACGCAGTAAAAAAACTACATTTCCCTAGAAGCTCTGACAGAGGGTAGGCGCGTTCCCAGCTGATGCGTAGCTGTTTGATTTCAGCAAATGGGCTTGTTCGCTGCTCTCCCAAACATGCCTGTGGAGTTACCGGAACAAAAGCGTTTTTTACTTTCAAAATAAAACCAATAGGTTGTGACGTTCTAATAAAACGTGAATAATTTACACGCTCTAAATGTTATACGCAATCTATGTTTTGTTTCACTGTCTTTACTATCATACTCAAATATAAGTATCCTCATACCTATGCAATGAGTGTCAAATTTGGCTACCAGAACTTTTATTTTGAAAGTAAAAACAGGAAACAGTACGTCCCTTCTTTGGCTTTGGCAATTTGATGCTGTGACTCCGGCCGTGTAGCTCAGACGAGCAGGCTGAGAGTTGGAGAAAACGGCTGAGGTTTATGATGGAGCGTTGTTAAGAGATAACAGCGGGGTCGGTCGACGAAGAAAATTAAACAAAGTCTACATGACCGAAGAAACAGGACCGGCCGCGAGCAACGCAGACCCAATAATCATGCAATTCAAACACAGACGAATTTAAGCAACCGCTTCTTCTTCTTCTTCTTCTTCCTTCTACTTGGTCAAGGTGAACACCGCTTGAAGACGCAGGTCACGTTGAATCCCCGTCATGTCCGTGGAAGAGCCGGGTTACCCCGACGCGATGCTGCTGCTGGAGGCCGGGCCGGAGTGGCTGCGGGCTGAGATCGAGCGTCTCTCCCGGGAGCTGAGCGAGACGACCAGCGAGAAGATCCAGGCTGCGGAGTACGGGCTGGCGGTGCTGGAGGAGAAGCAGCAGCTCAAACAGCAGTACGACGACATGGAGGTGGAGTACGAGGCTGTCAGACAGGAGCTCGACCAACTGAAAGAGGTAGTTTAATACATCATTAAACATGACGGCATCTTATTAGGTTTATTTCATCAAAAATCACACGTCTTATTTGCATTTATTAACTGCAGCACATGTAGATTTGTTGATGTATTGGTTTGCTGAGCAGACGTCCACTTTCCCTTTCCTTTCACAACGTCAAGGAGGATGAAGGGATGCTTTTACTGTGGGCATCTCCCCCCCCCCCCCCCCCCCCACACACACACACCTCCCCTGTGCTCAGAGAGTCCCCCACTGCTCTGCTACCTTTATTTATTCATGCAGCTCCAAAGGTCCCTTCTCCAAGACTGTTATCTGCCTCAGATAAGCCTGGTGTGTTTCTACAAGCTCCTCTTTAATCATCCCAAAGCAGACTTGCCAATTGCCCTGATATGATCAAAGTTTCCTGTTTGGTTTGATTAAAAAAAAATCAAATGATAGAGGAGTGCTTGTTCAGGCAAATATTGTGGATGTTCGTTTGAAAATGTGGACTTTGAACACCTTTCTGTGCGCAGGCAGGGCCAGGAAACAAGAATTTCTAGTTCGGTTGAGATGGGCGGGCGCATGTTTGAATTTGAACCTTCCCGCTTTTAGAAGTGAAGAAAACTGCAGATGAGGCAAGAGAACTTTTTTTTTTCTTTTTGACGATCCTTATGGGAATGGAAAGAATGTGGAGCCGGTGGTTACAGCGCAGCAGGCCTCGAGGGTCAGATAAAGGATGTGTCTGTTTTTCCTCAACAATGCTCTGACTTATTCCCCTCTGCCGGATGACGCTGTCTTGCAGTTTTCCTTCTAGAGCAGCAATTTGTTTCTGCACTGTGATTTAGATTAGAGAAGTTGACTTTTAAGTAGACAAAGTATCATCAAATGTTGCTTTCTTTTTTTATTATTTGTTTCTATCCACAATCACAGGGAAAAACTGCAAATTCCAGCAGGCTTGTTCATGGTTGCTCACATCCTCTTCTGATGTCAGTTCCTTTTGAATCTGCTCACAAAGCAAGCAAAGCCTAGCTCCCTTCACTGTACACCCCACTTTTGTTTTTTTGACAGGATTCTGCTTTTCTTTTTTTTTTCCTCCTGGGTTTTGGAGACATAGAAATGTTTTCCAGCCCTCTGTTTCTTCTTCTTGCCTTCCGGTGGCCCTCTCCCTGGAGGTTGGCGCTCAGCTTTCCCACGCATTATCTTGGCAGAAGATTTTACTCAGTTGCAGAGGAAGGACAAGAAAAAAAAGAGCTCTGAAAAGAAAGAAACTAGTGGTCTAGAAGAGTAGCCATGGCAGCGAAGAAGAAGAAGAAAATAAAAAGCAGAGGTTTCAGCCTTTAACCGCCCATACACCAGACTTAAACTCATCTTAAACAATGGTTTCCCATCTTTTCAGCACAAAATAACAGTTGCAGAAACTTGTGACGTAAGATATTACTCGTTTATGTGCAAACTTTGATAATAACTCTGTTAAACGTGGGAATAATAATATGACAAAGCTAATAATTATGAAACTATTTATATTCGTTTATCGTGATTTATTAATTTTTTTATAATTATGGTGAAAATACTCCATTAGCAGTTTACATTTAAGTTAATGTGTGGAAATAATTTGGGGACCGTCACTTGATGTTTCATGACCCATAGAGGGGCCCTAACCCCAATTTTGGGAACAACTGGTCTAAACAATCTAATTGCCTGCTCGGTCTCCTATTTATATCTGGTGATTCACTTAACAGAACACAGACGCTCATCTGTGTTTGTATAATTTCAAGTGTTAGCTGGAAGCTGTAACAGAGGGTCCCCCCCCCACCCCCCCCCCCCCCCCCCCACACACGGTAGGGTTGTATTAGTTATACATCTGTTGCGAACCTCTGCAAGAGCACATCTCTAATCCTTTATTCCACTACCCAACCCCCCAAAGTTAGCCACAGAGGGCAAAAATGATGTCAGCACAAGAGAAATACAAACATGTTCCTCCAACATCTGTATCTGCTTCCTCTCTATTGTCTGTAAGGGGATGAGAAGAATAAAACCGCTGAATGGTTTTGAGATATCCTTACTGCCAACCAGCGTATGTATTTGGTAGTCTATTGGTCAAAGACTCCAGTGAGGTTATTGGCAGCTGTGACACATATGTTATATTCTATATTTGCTGTCAGGGGTAAATGCCATGTTGTCACTGCTACGCAGGTGATGTTTACACTGATGGCAGTGTTGTTAGAAATCTACTGCTCTTTTGTCTGAGATGTACGGAGTCGCTCAATCTTTGGTGCTGACACTAAATCTCCTCCTCCTTGCACAAACATCTCAATAGAAAACCATTCAGATTTGTGAGTGTTCATAGTGCCTTAAATGTCCACACTTTATATCTGCTGGATCCAAACACTGTCCGAAATCAACACGACAGTGGGCAAACCTCCGCTGTTTACACAGTCTCCCCCACCCCACACACACACACACACACACACACTAACAGTCACAGGACACACATACCACCACCACCCATGCTGCTCTTGAGGCAGGAAGATGGAGGAATGCTGTGCGTTTTGCTGTTGCTTAGTAACAGCCCTGCTCGCTGCCTTCATTTGAGCTGCTGTTGTGCTTCCTCAGCAGGCGCTGCAGTGCGAGTGTGTTTTTAGATAAACGCTGAGGGATTATCTGAGGTAGCATAGAAAGAAAAGACAACTGGCTTGGAGCAACATGAACTGGCTAAATGTATTTAAAGTACTGCATTTCTGATGTTTGTTTCGCTTTGGTGAATTTTAAAAGGCTGCTTTATTTTTATTATTATTTTTATTTATTTATTTAACCTTGGTTTTATATTGATTTCCAGTTTTAGAATTATTCTGCAGTGTGTGTTGATTCCCTCAATCTCTTTTTTTTTCCTTCCGTAATTTCTCTAAACCTAAAATTAGCATTCATGTGGTGGCAGCTGGTAATACCCTGCAGTCCAGATTTGCTGCAGTATCTGTGTGCCACATTAAACTGAAACGGAGCCACTTGGTCCACTGCCCATGTGCCACTTCCTGCAGATACAATTAGGACCACTTTCCTGATCAATCATGCCCTCTGTAATAAACCCGATCAAGGATTCTTTTGTTGCTAATTTAAATGCGACTTAGCAGCGTGGGGGTTTTAGCTGCAGACTAGTTTCAGTCAGCAGCTCATCCTGATGCACCGTGCTTCAGTGGTGGAAGAGCGTAAGGCGGGGTTGGTCACGGTGTCTGTTTTAGCCAATGGCAGATGACTACATGTGCCGCACCTCCAGCTAACGCAGTTCATTGGGATATAGTGTGTGTGTGTGTGAGGATGTCATGAGATGAGCACCATCTCCACAAAGACGTCATCTTCTTTCCAAAAACAGCACATCTTTTCTGTCTTCTCTGATACTGGTTCTTTTTTTTTTTTTCAGTGTCCTTGAACAAAGACCCAGAGTTTCTCTGAGTATTGTTGTTCTGCAGAACACATAGACTCCCTCTCTGTTCTGAAGGGGTCTCAGATCACTAAAACAGCAGTTGTGTAATGCAGTTGGGAATTTAATCACAGTCAAGCTTTAATTATTATAAAGCTCAAACTTGGATCCTCTATGTTTGGCCCTGAAGCGGTTTGTGTGCATCATCCTTCAAGGTTAACTAGTCCTGAGTAAAGATGGTTAAATGGCAGCAGAATACCAGGATGACAAAGGAGAGATTGAGAGCTGTGTTCTATTGTGGATCCAATTGAAAGGACTGGTTACTTTTGTTCCTTTTGAAATGGGAAAGAAACCGCTAAAAGACAAAACCCAGTGTTCCTAAACATCAGAGTCTGACCACATCACTGTTGTTGTTGGACATCAGTAAGCCCATCTGGGCTTTTGTTTGAAGAGTCAAAAGTCTTTCTCCTTTTATGGAGTTGCTTCAACAAGGAGCTATGAATAATCACCAGCTGTTCGTCTCTGTTTAATACTGTTTTCTTTTCCGTTCACCTTTTTCTCTCCAATCCTAATAGCTTTGTTAGCCTTTTATTTAATCATTGTTCATTCAATCTGAGCCTAATCTGTGTTCACTCATATTCTCTTCAGATCAGTATTTGTTAAACCTATCATTATTGTTTTGAGGTATTTCAGTGCGTTTTCTTTTTTTACTCGTGATTTATTTTGCAGAATGGCGAGCCTGCAGTTTGGGGGGGTAATTTTTTTTTTCTAAATGGCACTAAATAAAGTCCCAAATCCCCTGCCCTCTGTGGGTAAGAGGATTAATCCCGGGCGCTATGCGCAGGGCTTACGGCAGTCTGGGAGGCTGCCAGGTCCAGCCGCACTTATTAGCAGCTTCAGTAGCCAGAGACGGGTACCGTACGTGGTTTTCGGGAGAGCCTGTAAGTAAGACTGTTCCACTACGTCTGGTTGACGAGCTCACTGCAGCAGCTGCCAAGCCTATCAATCTGTCCTCAATCCTGCAAACCTGCAATCTCCACGAATCTTAATGAAGTTTTAGTAAAAAAAAAGAACTAAATCCAACTCAAAATCTGATTAGACAAAGACATTTTCTTTGTATCTTTTCAGTCTCGTAATATAATCATATGCTTCTTTATGCGTGAAAGGGATGATCATAAAGAGTGATAAACAAATGATTCCATCCACTTCAGGTGAAACTGGCTCACTGATAATTCAAAATGGCTGTAAAAGCTTTTTGTCTTTGACTCTGGATTAGAAAAATCAACAACCTCAGCATCCATCTACAGTTCAGTCAGAGGTCAAGTTTACTCTGAAGCATTAGAGGACAGATGCTTGAGTCTTTCAGGCCTCAATAAGTTCATTTTTTGACCCACTTGAGAGGTTTTTTGAAAGACCTTGAATTTAATAATATATTTTTAAAACTTTCTCTGCTTTTTAACTATTTTTTATCAAATTTTCATATGGCGTTATGAAATGTCAGGATAACGTTTTTATGATTTTTTGTTATTTGAAATACCTGGTACACTATAAATGGGAAAGAACAAATTACTGTTTTGAGGGCTGCAGTTTTTTAAGACTTGCACGG